ATGGATAAATATAATTTAAATCATCACAAGTGAAGTGAACTGAACCACCAGTCCAAGTCTGTGAGATACCCAAGTCAGATTTCAATGTTCCACTATCTGCAAACATGATTGTATAGTTTTTTATTATTTACCAGTAAGTTATTCATAAAAAGCCTAAACATTAGCAAGGCAAGCATTGATCCTCTCAGTACAACAATTCTTTGATGAATATGTGGGCCAGCGGGCTACCAGCAGCAACAGCTTGGTTGACCAGGCAATCACCAGATATGCCTGGCCTAGGGCCGGGCTGCAGTAGGAAAACTCCTGAAACCCCTTTAAAGGTATATCAAAGGTATATCTCTCTGATGCCTTTTACTTCATATCACATTTTACTTTCAAACCAAAAATCTGTCATCCACTGGAAGTTTCCTTTTTATTCCTCGTATGTTTTGCAGTTTCTAGATTAGACTTATGAGAGGAACTCTACTGAAAGCTTGCTAGAAATTTAATTATATGCTAGCTTCCCATCCATTTCTTTTTTGAAAAATTTATTTGCCTGGTATACTGTAATAGTACAACTGATACACAGAAATACAGTGGACCCCCGCTTTACGATCACCTCCCAATGCGACCAATTATGTAAGTGTATTTATGTAAGTGCGTTTGTACGTGTATGTTTAGGGTCTGAAATGGACTAATCTAATTCACAATATTCCTTATGGGAACAAATTCGTTCAGTACTGGCACCTGAACATACTTCTGGAATAAAATAATATCGTAAACTGGGGGTCCACTGTATGGTGATCAAAACCAAACTGTTAATTACTTTTTGTCTCCAATTTCTGTATCCACTTTTCTCCTTTTCCAGTGTTTTCACAAAAACATTGATCAACCAGGTTGGCCAAGTGGAATATTTATCCCGCAAATTTTTTAAATAATAATAATAATATTATGAAAGTAGTTTATTAGATTATGTATTGGTGGATAAAAGGTTGATGGGTAGGCTCCAGGATGTACATGTTTATAGAGGGGCAACTGATATATCGGATCATTATTTAGTTGTAGCTACAGTTAGAGTAAGAGGTAGATGGGAAAAGAGGAAGGTGGCAACAACAAGTAAGAGGGAGGTGAAAGTGTATAAACTAAGGGAGGAGGAAGTTCGGGTGAGATATAAGCGACTATTGGCAGAAAGGTGGGCTAGTGCAAAGATGAGTAGTGGGGGGGTTGAAGAGGGTTGGAATAGTTTTAAAAATGCAGTATTAGAATGTGGGGCAGAAGTTTGTGGTTATAGGAGGGTGGGGGCAGGAGGAAAGAGGAGTGATTGGTGGAATGATGAAGTAAAGGGTGTGATAAAAGAGAAAAAGGTAGCTTATGAGAGGTTTTTACAAAGCAGAAGTGTTATAAGAAGAGCAGAGTATATGGAGAGTAAAATAAAGGTAAAGAGAGTGGTGAGAGAGTGCAAAAGGAGAGCAGATGATAGAGTGGGAGAGGCACTGTCAAGAAATTTTAATGAAAATAAGAAAAAAATTTGGAGTGAGTTAAACAAGTTAAGAAAGCCTAGGGAAAATATGGATTTGTCAGTTAAAAACAGAGTAGGGGAGTTAGTAGATGGGGAGATGGAGGTATTGGGTAGATGGCGAGAATATTTTGAGGAACTTTTAAATGTTAAGGAAGAAACAGAGACAGTAATTTCATGCACTGGTCAGGGAGGTATACCATCTTTTAGAAGTGAAGAAGAGCAGAATGTAAGTGTGGGGGAGGTACGTGAGGCATTACGTAAAATGAAAGGGGGTAAAGCAGCTGGAACTGATGGATTATGACAGAAATGTTAAAAGCAGGGGGGGATATAGTGTTGGAGTGGTTGGTACTTTTGTTTAATAAATGTATGAAAGAGGGGAAGGTACCTAGGGATTGGCAGAGAGCATGTATAGTCCCTTTATATAAAGGGAAAGGGGACAAAAGAGACTGTAAAAATTATAGAGGAATAAGCTTACTGAGTATACCAGGAAAAGTGTACGGTAGGGTTATAATTGAAAGAATTAGAGGTAAGACAGAATGTAGGATTGCGGATGAGCAAGGAGGTTTTAGAGTGGGTAGGGGATGTGTAGATCAGGTGTTTACATTGAAGCATATATGTGAACAGTATTTAGATAAAGATAGGGAAGTTTTTATTGCATTTATGGATTTAGAAAAGGCATATGATAGAGTGGATAGAGGAGCAATGTGGCAGATGTTGCAAGTACATGTATATGGAATAGGTGGTAAGTTATTAAATGCTGTAAAGAGTTTTTATGAGGATAGTGAGGCTCAGGTTAGGGTGTGTAGAAGAGAGGGAGAATACTTCCCGGTAAAAGTAGGTCTTAGACAGGGATGTGTAATGTCACCATGGTTGTTTAATATATTTATAGATGGGGTTGTTAAGGAAGTGAATGCTAGGGTGTTTGGGAGAGGGGTGGGATTAAATTATGGGGAATCAAATTCAAAATGGGAATTGACACAGTTACTTTTTGCTGATGATACTGTGCTTATGGGAGATTCTAAAGAAAAATTGCAAAGGTTAGTGGATGAGTTTGGGAATGTGTGTAAAGGTAGAAAGTTGAAAGTGAACATAGAAAAGAGTAAGGTGATGAGGGTGTCAAATGATTTAGATAAAGAAAAATTGGATATCAAATTGGGGAGGAGGAGTATGGAAGAAGTGAATGTTTTCAGATACTTGGGAGTTGACGTGTCGGCGGATGGATTTATGAAGGATGAGGTTAATCATAGAATTGATGAGGGAAAAAAGGTGAGTGGTGCGTTGAGGTATATGTGGAGTCAAAAAACGTTATCTATGGAGGCAAAGAAGGGAATGTATGAAAGTATAGTAGTACCAACACTCTTATATGGGTGTGAAGCTTGGGTGGTAAATGCAGCAGCGAGGAGACGGTTAGAGGCAGTGGAGATGTCCTGTTTAAGGGCAATGTGTGGTGTAAATATTATGCAGAAAATTCGGAGTGTGGAAATTAGGAGAAGGTGTGGAGTTAATAAAAAGTATTAGTCAGAGGGCAGAAGAGGGGTTGTTGAGGTGGTTTGGTCATTTAGAGAGAATGGATCAAAGTAGAATGACATGGAAAGCATATAAATCTATAGGGAAGGAAGGCGGGGTAGGGGTCGTCCTCAAAAGGGTTGGAGAGAGGGGGGTAAAGGAGGTTTTGTGGGTAAGGGGCTTGGACTTCCAGCAAGCGTGCGTGAGCGTGTTAGATAGGAGTGAATGGAGACGAATGGTACTTGGGACTGACGATCTGTTGGAGTGTGAGCAGGGTAATATTTAGTGAAGGGATTCAGGGAAAACCGGTTATTTTCATATAGTCGGACTTGAGTCCTGGAAATGGGAAGTACAATGCCTGCACTTTAAAGGAGGGGTTTGGGATATTGGCAGTTTGGAGGGATATGTTGTGTATCTTTATATGTGTATGCTTCTAGACTGTTGTATTCTGAGCACCTCTGCAAAAACAGTGATAATGTGCGAGTGTGGTGAAAGTGTTGAATGATGATGAAAGTATTTTCTTTTTGGGGATTTTCTTTCTTTTTTGGGTCACCCTGCCTCGGTGGGAGACGGCCGACTTGTTGAAAAAAAAAAAAAAAAAAAAAAAAAAAAAAAAAAAATATTTATGTATTATATAAAATACAGTGGACCCCCGCATAACGATCACCTCCGAATGCGACCAATTATGTAAGTGTATTTATGTAAGTGCATTTGTACGTGTATGTTTGGGGGTCTGAAATGGACTAATCTACTTCACAATATTCCTTATGGGAACAAATTCGGTCAGTACTGGCACCTGAACATACTTCTGGAGTGAAAAAATATCGTTAACCGGGGGTCCACTGTATTAGCATAATGAGTACTATTTTGCTTTTTTTGTTTTTAACACACCAACTGCCTCTCACCAAGATACGGGGACCCTCTAAAAAGGAAATACATTCACTGTCATTCATTTAATAGCCATCATATTAGAAGTGTGCTGACATCACAGTTTTAGAGTTTTAGAGTTTTTAGAGTTTTAGAGTGCAGGCACCATACTCTCACCTCCAGAACTCAAGTTCAGATAACTTGTTTTCCCTGAATCCCTTCATAAATGTTACCTAGCTCATAATCCAACAATATATGAAGCCATAAAAACCATTTGTCTCCAACAGGCTTGGACACCCAACAGGCTCACACAAGCCTGTTGGGTGTTCAAGCCCCTAGCACACAAAACCTCCTTTACTCCCTCCCTCCAACCTTGTTTGTATAAGAATACAAATCTTAATACGAATACATTTTTCTGAGCTGGCAACTATTACAAACAATGTTGGCTGTTACAACAATGGTTTGCCTTCCCTCAACAATTTGATATATGTACATGCATATTTATGTAGCCAGTTTTTTTTCACTCAGACACTGCTGGACAGTCCATTTTGATGATGCATCATACCCCCGGCCGGGATTGAACCCGCGGTCATAGAGTCTCAAAACTCCAGCCCGTCGCGCTAACCACTAGACCAGCTAGCCACAATAAGATTCATCCAACTAGGTCTTATTGTGGCTAGCTGGTCTAGTGGTTAGCGCGACGGGCTGGAGTTTTGAGACTCTATGACCGCGGGTTCAATCCCGGCCGGGGGTATGGTTTATTTGCAATCGTGTCATTACGATTTCTTAAGTCAAGTCTTGATGATGCATGTTTTTGATTTAGTGGTTCACACTGTATTGTGGGGTATATTCACAAAATACATGTGAAACATTTCAGTGCTTATCAAGATAATGTCTAGAAATAAGAAGTCCCAATTTAAAAATCATAATCAAATTTAAATGACACCTTAACTACATATTTAAATATCTGGAAATAAGCATAAAAAGAATTAATTAATTAACAGAACGAAAGCAAAAATGGCTGTCTCTATTCTAATTTGAATTCTACATTTATGACAGCTACAGTACACAGAGTCAAGCATGAAATACAGGTAATAATACAAGAGATGTGATGATGTACAAAACTTACAGAAACTACAAAGGAGAGACCATCCCAGGTCATCTTGGCAACCGAATCTTTCCCTCGGTGGGGCGGCTGCGGCAACGCTGCTCCATCTATGGAGTCGGACAGACCACTGCCCATTCCCTCCTGAAGCTGTAACAAGAAACATATACTCCATTCAAATTTATACCTCAATATTACAGTACATAATTTTACAATTTTACAGATGATAGAGTGGGAGAGGCACTGTCAAGAAATTTTAATGAAAATAAGAAAAAATTTTGGAGTGAGTTAAACAAGTTAAGAAAGCCTAGGGAAAGTATGGATTTGTCAGTTAAAAACAGAGTAGGGGAGTAGTAGATGGGGAGAGGGAGGTATTAGGTAGATGGCGAGAATATTTTGAGGAACTTTTAAATGTTGAGGAAGAAAGGGAGGCGGTAATTTCATGCACTGGTCAGGGAGGTATACAATCTTTTAGGAGTGAAGAAGAGCAGAATGTAAGTGTGGGGGAGGTAAGTGAGGCATTACATAGAATGAAAGGGGGTAAAGCAGCTGGAACTGATGGGATTATGACAGAAATGTTAAAAGCATGGAGGGATATAGTGTTGGAGTGGTTGGTACTTTTGTTTAATAAATGTATGAAAGAGGGGAAGGTACCTAGGGATTGGCGGAGAGCATGTCGGTATTTTATACCATTTTAATGTTCAGCATGTATAGTCCCTTTATATAAAGGGAAAGGGGACAAAAGAGATTGTAAAAATTATAGAGGAATAAGTTTACTGAGTATACAAGGAAAAGTGTACGGTAGGGTTATAATTGAAAGAATTAGAGGCAAGACAGAATGCAGGATAGCGGATGAGCAAGGAGGTTTCAGACTGGGTAGGGGATGTGTAGATCAAGTGTTTACATTGAAGCATATATGTGAACAGCATTTAGATAAAGGTAGGGAAGTTTTTATTGCATTTATGGATTTAGAAAAGGCATATGATAGAGTGGATAGAGGAGCAATGTGGCAGATGTTGCAAGTACATGTATATGGAATAGGTGGTAAGTTACTAAATGCTGTAAAGAGTTTTTATGAGGATAGTGAGGCTCAGGTTAGGGTGTGTAGAAGAGAGGGAGACTACTTCCCGGTAAAAGTAGGTCTTAGACAGGGATGTGTAATGTCACAATGGTTGTTTAATATATTTATAGATGGGGTTGTAAAAGAAGTAAATGCTAGGGTGTTCGGGAGAGGGGTGGGATTAAATTATGGGGAATCAAATTCAAAATGGGAATTGACACAGTTACTTTTTTGCTGATGATACTGTGCTTATGGAAGATTCTAAAGAAAAATTGCGGTTAGTGGATGAGTTTGGGAATGTGTGTAAAGGTAGAAAGTTGAAAGTGAACATAGAAAAGAGTAAGGTGATGAGGGTATCAAATGATTTAGATAAAGAAAAATTGGATATCAAATTGGGGAGGAGGGGTATGGAAGAAGTGAATGTTTTCAGATACTTGGGAGTTGACGTGTCAGCGGAAGGATTTATGAAGGATGAGGTTAATCATAGAATTGATGAGGGAAAAAAAGGTGAGTGGTGCGTTGAGGTATATGTGGAGTCAAAAAACGTTATCTATGGAGGCAAAGAAGGAAATGTATGAAAGTACAGTAGTACCTACTCTTACATGGGTGTGAAGCTTGGGTGGTAAATGCAGCAGCGAGGAGACGGTTGGAGGCAGTGGAGATGTCCTGTCTAAGGGCAATGTGTGGTGTAAATATTATGCAGAAAATTCGGAGTGTGGAAATTAGGAAAAGGTGTGGAGTTAATAAAACTATTTGTCAGAGGGCAGAAGAGGGGTTGTTGAGGTGGTTTGGTCATTTAGAGAGAATGGATCAAAGTAGAATGACATGGAAAGCAAATAAATCCATAGGGGAAGGAAGGCGAGGTAGGGGTCGTCCTCAAAAGGGTTGGAGAGAGGGGGTAAAGGAGGTTTTGTGGGCGAGGGGCTTGAACTTCCAGCAAGCGTGCGTGAGCGTGTTAGATAGGAGTGAATGGAGACGTATAGTACTTGGGACCTGACGATCTGTTGGAGTGTGAGCAGGGTAATATTTAGCGAAGGGATTCAGGGAAAAAGATTATTTTCATATAGTTGGACTTGAGTCCTGGAAATGGGAAGTACAATGCCAGCACTTTAAAGGAGGGGTTTGGGATATTGGCAGTTTGGAGGAATATGTTGTGTATCTTTATACATATATGCTTCTAAACTGTTGTATTCTGAGCACCTCTGCAAAAACAGTGATAATGTGTGAGTGTGGTGAAAGTGTTGAATGATGATGAAAGCATTTTCTTTTTGGGGATTTTCTTTCTTTTTTGGGTCACCGCGCCTCGGTGGGAGACGGCCGACTTGTTGAACAAAAAAAAAAAAAAAAAGAAATTACAATACCACACATGCACTAACTACTGTAAGACACACATGCAACAGTTAGGTATCTTTATTCTAAAATGTTTCGCCTACACAGTAGGTTTCTTCAGTCTTGAAGACAGTTTTCAAGGGTGAAGGACTGTTGACATCGTCTTTACATCTCTACTGCGTCTGCTCACTCTTCTGTACTCGACTGAAGAAGTCTACCGTGTAGGCAAAATGTTTCGGAATAAACATTTTCATTTTCAAAAAAAGCTGTTGTACATGTGTTTTACTTATTAACCTGTTGGTACTGTATACCATTTTCATGTTCATTAATTACTATATTTTGCGGCGTTGAAGACGCTATTTTTGTCCTAAAATAAGATTCCAAAATTTACCCAGCATCTTTAAGGCTGAAGATTACGTAAGAACATAAGATAGGATGAGCACTGTAGCAGGCCTACTAGCCCATGATAGGCAGGTCCAAGTCACACCCACATTGCTCAGAGGCCTCAACCTAAGCCTAGAGAAGTTTTTCAATTCTAAACAGTAATCTAAGCTCTTATATATGACCCAATAATGAATCATTTAACCCTTTCAGGGTCCTTGCGGCAGATCTACGGCTTTATGTTCAGGGTCCAAACCGTAGATCTACACCATGAGCTCAGCTCACTCTGATAAGCTGTGAGCAGTAAATTTGGGCATAGATATGAGAGAATACATCTATATGGTATGTGTGCACCACAAAAAACAAATCCTGCAGCACACAGTGCATAATGAGAGAAAAAAACTGAGACCGTAATTTTCGATTAAAACAGCGGCTTTGCAGTGTTTTTTCATATGTTTTTTGTAGTTCTATTTGCAATTTCTTGGTCTCATTTGATAGAATGGAAGATATACTACATAAATAGAGATGATTTGAATGGTTTTAGTACTGAAAATAGCTTGAAACTGAGCCCAAAGTAGCAGAAATGTTAAATTTTTGCCGATGTCGATGTTCAAGAGTAAACAAATGACCTCACAAGTCTAATACATGACAGCTGGTGGGTCTAATATACATTCACAAAAGTGGTGATATTATTTATAAAATTATTACAGTATTGCATAACAGTAAATCTTCTATTTTTTTGGTTTGAATAAAAATTCATTATGTGAATAAAAAATAAAAATGGAATTAATTTATAAAGCCTGAAAATGTAACTAATGAACAGAGGAAATGTTAGTTTAGTGCCTGGAAAGTCTGCAATGTTTATTCTGGACCCTATTTTGAAACTGGAATATTTTGAACTTTGCATTAAACTGGCCAAATTACCAATTTCTGGTCGCTTTATTTTGTTGTTGAAACAGTTGACTTGGCGATTTCTTGTGCTCAATCGATAGAATAGAAGTAATACTAGTGAAATAGCTAAGAATTTGGTCAACTGGAATAATGTAATTGGCCTAAAATGGGAGTCAAAGTCGGCAAAATCGCCGATGCGTAAATACTGCCGACAAATCAAAATTTGCGAGAGCATAATTTCATTAATTTTCCATCAAATTTCGTACTTTTTGTTTTATTACCTTCGGAAAAAGATTCTCTACCATTTCATAAGAAAAAATAACAAAATTATTTTTTGAAAATTCTTGGACCCTGGTGCACACTTTGAAATTTGGCCTCTGGACCCTGAAAGGGTTAAACAATTTTGTGTAAAATATTGAATAACAAAATCGTAAAAAATTCTTTGGTGCTTAGCAGCAATAGGCAAAGGTAAACCAGGAAGGTCATTTATGTACAGTTCAGGATATTTATTAAAGGAAACATTTTCACAGCTTGTTGGTAAGTTTATTCAAGTACAGTGGACCCCCGGTTCGCGAAGTCATCGGTATCCAATAAATCCGGTATCCGAAGCATTACATCGCAAAAAATTTGCCTCGGTTCCCGTTACAAAACCCGGTATGCGATACGATTCTTACGAGACGTGTCCACGTGTGGCCTGAACTGCCCCATGTGTGCCAGTGTTTACAAGCCAGCCAGTGTGCGCGCATCTAAGGATACATTCGGTACATTCCATATTATCCATATTATCACTGTTTTTGGTGCTTGTTTTTGCAAAATAAGTCACCATGGGCCCCAAGAAAGCTTCTAGTGCCAACCCATCGAGACCAAGGGTGCTAATGACTATTGAAATGAAGAAAGAGATAATTGCAAAGTATGAAAGTGGAGTGCGTGTGTCGGACCTGGCCATGTTGTATAGTAAATCTCAATCAACCATCTCTACTATAGTGAGCAGGAAAATGGCAATCAAGGAAGCTGTTCTTGCAAAAGGTGCAACTGTGATTACAAAACAGCGATTCCCCTTCTAAACATTAAAAACTTCAACACTCTCCCCTCCTCCCATCCCACCAATCATCACCAGATCTTCATTAAAGGTAAGTGTCAATTATTCTATTGTGATTATTCTATTGTTATTATTTTTATTGTAATTATTCTATTGCATTAAACTTAATATTTCATGTGGTAAAAGTTTTTTTTTCATACTTTTGGGTGTCTTGCACGGATTAATTTGATTTCCATTATTTCTTATGGGGAAAATTGATTCGCTATCCGATAAATTTGCTTTACGATGAGCTCTCAGGAACGGATTAATAACGTGAACCAGGGGTCCACTGTACACATAAATACATTTAGATAAATAATCATTCATAGAAGCATATGTGCAGATTATCTAAGATAACCCAAAAAAGTCCTACCATTTCTCAAGGAGTCAAGGTAAACGAGGCATTGAAGT